TCGATAGAAGACACTATGACGAATCGAGTGACGTATAGATCTTGATCATCGGGTACATTGTTTACGAGTTATCACCACTTAAAGAAGGTCAATTTTGTGTTATTTTCGTGTATCTTCGCATTATTTTGGCGTTTTAGCGAAATTCGAAAGAGTTTTCAAATCGGGCATTTCCACTTTCGTATTGGCCAAGGATTAAGCTTTCGAATGAGACATTGTTTATCGAAATCGGTTCACTGGTTCTCATGTTATAATCAAAATACTATACATGTAAAATCCTATCTAATTGGGGGCTAACTTCACATAGGTGTCATTATGAATAGTTATGTTGTAATCTCAAGTTAAGTGAAAATAACTTTTTATTTTGTGCGTGGGTATAAATTAAACAATTTGAGGTTAGGATTTAATACGAAAATACATGTTATAGTTAACATTGCTTGTGTTGTTAGTTGTAATTGTCATTTGGTTAAATACACAGTTTGTTGCCATCGTCACACGGGTTACTTTTTTATTGTTATTTTGTAACCATGTACACGTCTTTTTTAATATTAATTTTTAATTAACTATTTTAACTTAAGTAAGGTACTATTAAATAAGCTATTATACTTATTTATCATTTATATTTACAATATAAAGATATTTCAGTCGTTTGACAGATCAATTGATACACAATCTATTAACACAAAGTCTATTAACACACATTTGGTAGAAACAATTCTATCTAACGACAGGTAGTTGTCGTTATGCATTGATAGCCTAAGAAATAAAGTTTTCATCCGAAAATATGTTGTAATCTCAATAAGTTTTGTGAAAATAACTTTTTATTTTGTGCGTGGGTATAAATTAAACAATTTCAGGTTAGGATTTAATACGAAAATGCAATTTTAACATTACTTTGAACTTCCAAAAAGAAACGTCAAATCGCAACTTTAAAGTGATTTTTCGGTAAGTACTACAGTTTCCGCACTTTTTTTTATCATTAACGCCTCTTTTGACTCATTTCCTATCGATTAAAAAAAAAAATCATCGATTTTTAAGAGAGACTCCTAATCTTGATATATGCCACCATAGCAACATTAACTTTTAAATATGTACATACATTGGTATTAGATAGAACAAAATTAATTTTTGTTAATTATTCAATTACTATAAGAAATATACCCCATAAACTATATATATTTGTTATTAGAAGAACAAATTAAACAAATTATTGAACAAATTAGGTCATAGCCAACTATGGTTTCCATTAAAAAAAATAAAGTTACGTCTAAAATCTCGAAAATAAAAGATGGGAAAAAAATTCTACCAACGCCACTGACTTCTTCGTAAAAAGTTGCCCATATAATGTTTTATTTATAATACTCCATCTTTGATAATAAGTGAGATATTCGCGATTGTCGTTTTCGCAAAATTTGCAGTTTTTGTCAATAGGGCGAAAACAAAAGACGATAGCTGTTCGGAGTTTTCGGCATTAGCATTTTCTCGAAAAACGACATGTAAGCTACTTTTTTTCTATCTCTTTAAGTTTCGGAGATAGCCTATGCGGACATCGAAATTGGAATTTAGTTATAGTTCAAGATTAGAAATAGTTGTATCGCGAAAAATATGCAACTAAAAGATATTTTGAAAACCCGTTTCTTTCAGAGGATAACTTATAATTTGTATAATAAATGTTGATAATTTAATATTAATTTATTGAAATTCCAATTTATTATGATTTTTTGAAAATGAGTAAATATTTGCTTAAGGAATACGAATCGTAGGCACATATTAAGATTACCTGTCCCTCTTAAAAATCGATGTTTTTTTTTAATCGGTAGAAAATGGCTCAAAAGATGCGTTAATGATAAAGAAAAGTGCGGAAAAGTGTAGTACTTACCGAAAAATCACTTTAAAGTTGCGATTTGACGTTTCTTTTTGGAAGTTCAAAGCAATGTTAAATATGCATTTTCGTATTAAATCCTAACCTGAAATTGTTTAATTTATACCCACGCACAAAATAAAAAGTTATTTTCACTAAACTTATTGAGATTACAACATATTTTCGGATGAAAACCTTATTTCTTAGGCTATCAATGCATAACGACAATTACCTGTCGTTAGATAGAATTGTTTCTACCAAATGTGTGTTAATAGACTTTGTGTTAATAGATTGTGTATCAATTGATCTGTCAAACGACTGAAATATCTTTATGTTGTAAATATAAATGATAAATAAGTATAGTAGCTTATTTAATAGTAGTTTACTTAAATTAAAATAGTTATTAAAAAAAACATGTGTATACATGGTTACAAAATAAAAATAAATAAATAACCCGTGTGACGATAGCAACAAACCTTCCAACAACAAACTTTTACCCGTAATTTCCTATCTATTTTATTAGCTGATATCTTTCTTATTATTAGAGATAGCGGAAAACTAAATGCACCATTTGAAAGCTTGATTCTTTCTCTATGAAATCGTTTGCCCCGTTTGCCGATATGTTGATATTAAGATCAATAAAATGTAAGACTTGGGGAGCTTCTTATTAGGGTTAAGTGTGCATTTAAAGATTATTTCTTCGAATATTGATTTATTCCACGCCTAATACAAAACTTACAACTACTATCATAAAACAACATAATAATACTGACTGTCACGTACACGGACGCAAAGCATGCCGGGTAATAATTAATTTACAAACTAATAGATGGCGTTTTAAAATCAAATTAAATTAATGCTACAACTCGGCCATCCTGACAATAGTTCGTCCTCGAACTACACAAATTTTTTTTTTTTTATTTATTTACCCACGGACGCAGATTATTTCCCTCCCATACACCCTCATATGGTCTATTCGAATTTTGAAATCCATCAATATCCACTATTACAAATCGATTGTTTCGAAGTATCTTACTGACTCGATAAGGCCCCTTGAATTTTGGGAGTAATTTTTTAGATTCCCCAACATCAAGTTTAAAATTACGGATCATAACCAGATCACCCGTTTCATAATTGTGAGGGGTTTTACGTTTTTTGTTAACATATTTCTCATTCTTATGTTGTGACTCGGTAGTCTTTCTTTCGGCCTCAGATCGCAAACTATTCAAATCTTGGTAGGTCGTAACAAAATCTTGAAGATAGTTAGCCACTGTGTCTTGAACCACACCTCTCTGTGAGAGTCCAAACAACAATTTACTAGGTGTTTCTCCGGTGGTTTTATTAACACTATTGTTAATACTAAATTCTATTTCAGGTAGGGTTTGATACCATTTTCCTGACATATCATTACTAGCTAACTTAGCAATCATGGGAGTTATTATGCGGTTTATACGCTCAACTTGGCCATTAGCCTGTGGCGATCCAGTAGCTATCAACACATGTCTAACATCGTTATCAGACAGAAACGCTCGAAATTCTTGGGAAGTGAAACTCGTACCTCTGTCAGATATCAGCACACGCGGGACACTATAATTTTGAAAATATTGTCTTAGATTTTGGATTACTTCGGCACTAGCGGTCGTTTTTGTTGAGTAAAGTTTAATATACTTTGTAAAGGCATCTACCACTACAAGGACATGCTGCTTGGCTTTACAGTGTCTATCTATAGGGCCTAGATGATCGATATGTATGGTTTGAAAAGGAAGGTTCCCTTTTGGAATACTATGCAACACATCTTCCTTTTTGCCGGTCTTAGGGGAATAAGATATGCATTTGAAACAATTTTTAATATGACATTCAACTTTATGTTTCATTCTTGGGAACCAATAGATCCGCTGTAAGTTTTTCAAAGTCTTTTCGGTACCCAAATGTCCCATCTCGTCATGATATTTGTACATAATATTAGCTTCCATCGCTTCAGGTACGTAAAAATATAATTCATCCCCTTTTTTTCTATATAACAATCCGTTTCTCATTTCATAATCTGTGCTGTTTTCATTTTCCAACTTCAAGCATATTTCTTTTAAATTATCATCTTCGTTCTGACATATGGCCAGATTAAATTCTATCGAATTATCATTTATGACATGTACATTGGTGATTCTACTTAGGGCGTCAACGTGTGGCATATTTTTCCCCGCACGATGCTCTATTTCGTAATCATAACATTGCAATTCTAATGCCCATCGGGCGATTCTCGAATTCATTTCCTTTTTGTCTAAAGTCATTTTCAAAGAGTTGCAGTCGGTTACTATTTTAAACTTTATTCCATGAACATAAACTCTAAACCGACGAAGAGCGTTTATGATAGACAACGTCTCTAATTCAAAACTGTGATATCTACTTTCGCATTCAGTGGTACGCTTAGAAAAGTAGAAAATTGGATGCAACTTTTTGTCAGCTTTCCGTTGCATCAAAATCGCACCGAACCCCACAGAACTAGCGTCACAATGTAGTTCAGTTGGATCTTTTTCATTGTAAATAGATAGCACTGGAGCCGATACTAATTTAGCTTTAATAACTTCGAACGAACTCAACTGTTCTTCTCCAAAATGAAATTTGGCATTAGCTTTTGTAAGGTCATACAATGGTTTAGCAATAATTGAAAATTTCTCAATGAATTTTCGAAAGTATGAGCTAAGCCCAAGAAAGCTTTGTAATTCCCGGACATTGCGTGGTACAGGAAAGTTTTCTACTGCCTTTATACCATTTTCGGTAGGTGTAATACCTCTTTCATTTATTAAGTATCCTAGAAATTCAATCTGGGAAGCCATAAACTCACATTTATCTAATCTCAGAGTCATTCTATTTTTTACTAGTAACCTAAAAACTTGCCGTAACAATTTAAAATGATATTCCAATGTTTCGCTGGTTATTAGTATATCGTCCAAATATATGGACACATCTCCGTTCTCGATTAATGGTTTGAAAACGTCATAAACAAATCTCTGAAAAGCAGAAGGACCTACTTTTAAACCAAAAGGCATCTTCAGATATTCAAAATGACCCAGAGGAGTAACAAACGCAGTGTACTTGACAGAATCGGGATGCATATCTATGTGGAAAAATCCATCTTTTAAGTCTAGCCGGGAAAAATGCTTTTTATTATGCGTGCTAATATTTGGTCCTCGATAAGCGGTAATGGATGATTATCTCTACTGAGTATCTTATTTAATTGACGATAATCAATGCACATACGGATTTCTCCATTTTTCTTTCTAACTAGTACAATTGGTGAAGCATACTCAGAATTGCTTGGTTGAATAATATTATCACGTAATAAATCATCTAAGATCTGTCTTACTTTACTCTTTTCACAAAAAGATAAGCGTCTCGGCTGATAATGAAAAGGATTAGAATCTTTAACTATTAACTTCAATTCGCCGTTTACGTTAGGTTTCTCAGGTCTTTCCGGTTGCAGGTATTCTCTTATAAATAACGCCTTAAAATCTAATTTGGTTTGCTCAGGTAATTGGTTATTTAATTTAACACCATCTACTTCACTAAAACTATTAGAGTCATCATACGTAACATCAATATTCATTATCGCCTGGATGGCTTCGGTTTCAGTTTCGTATATTTTTTCATTTCTCAAAAGTAAATTAAACAATTTTAAAACATCTCTACCTAATACAACACAAGACGACATCGTACTATCCGGCATTACAAGCAAAAGTATCTCTCTTGTACAATTATCTAAAGTCAAATCAACCGTTACTGACCCCTTAATAATTAACTTTGATTGGTTAATGCCACAAAATTTATTTGAATCAGTTGTGTATTTCTCGAAATTCTTTACAAATTTTTCTTTAATGAAACTAATTGGACTTCCCGTATCCAACAAAGTATATAATGTTATGGATCGGTTATTTATCTGGTAGATCAAGTTACGTTGAAACTCATCTTCAGATCCATAATTGTCAACAGTCGACACGTTCCTAGCCGGACAATTCTTAACTAAATGTCCAAAAACGCCGCATTGGTAACAAGAGCCCCTCTCTCGTTTTGCTTGTTGACACTCATTCGCAAGATGACCCATTCTGCCACAATTGAAACATCTGGGAATCCTCCCTTGGTTCCCTCTGTTGTTTTCCTTTCCGGTGCTTTTTGGTACTTCTTTCACAACTGGTTTAGAAGTGGTACGTGGTCCCATGGTAATGTTCTTGAATCCTTGCACCAAATCTTCCAAACATCCATAACTTTGCATTCGAGCTTGATTTCGTAAACTCTGGTCTGAAATTCCGTCGATGAGATAATCCAACATCTCCTCTTCTGGTACCTGGGCCTGATTTGCTTTTATTATTTTGTCGTGATAATAATTATAAAAGGTTTCGGACGATTGCCACCTCCTGGATTCGAATAATTTCCGCAATTTCATTCGATTCGGTCGGCAGTCAAACATTATTTTCATTTCTCTTAGAATTCCTCCGACATCCTTTATTAGAAATTCAGGTTTTGATTGAAACCAGGCTTGTGCTTTACCCTTCATACGTGATCCCATCAAAATCCTAGCAGAGCCATCATCCAATTCATATGTATTGCATAGTAAAAGGAATTGTTTTTGCCATCGGTCAAAGTTGTTGTCTATGCCATCGAACTCGCTTAATAAATCACCAATTAACCGAATGTTTGTTTGCGGTTTAGGTGAAGGGGAAGGTGCTTGGCGTAATTCATTTTTCCTCTTCATAAGCTCAATCTCCTTCCGCATCAGATCTCTTTCTCTCTTAACTAATTCCAATTCTCGTGCGACCATATCGACTTTATCACCAGCCAAATTTGAATCTTCTTTCTCCAACCTGTTATTCGAGTCCATAATTACTCTTTCTTCGTAATCTTCAAAATTTCTGAGCGGGTAAGAACTCGTACCTTCTCCCGCTTCCGCCATAACGGATTTTCTTTTTTGAGGTTAGGTTTATACCGTTTCTTCCAAATTTAATCTTTTGCACACCTTTAACCTCACACCTGATATTGTAAGACTTGGGGAGCTTCTTATTAGGGTTAAGTGTGCATTTAAAGATTATTTCTTCGAATATTGATTTATTCCACGCCTAATACAAAACTTACAACTACTATCATAAAACAACATAATAATACTGACTGTCACGTACACGGACGCAAAGCATGCCGGATAATAATTAATTTACAAACTAATAGATGGCGTTTTAAAATCAAATTAAATTAATGCTACAAAAAGATGAAGAACACCGCTCTCTGTACGTAAAATAGCTTAATATTACCAAACTTCAAGCCCTTGTGCGATTGTTATCAAACCGAATTTTAAAAAACTGTGTTCACAATCAGAAAGAACGCTCCTTCAAATATCTTAATCCGGGTTTTTGTCGGTCAATATCTATTAGTATCATGGTTAAATCACCTTTAATATACATCTCTATATACAGAAACGTTTAATTGCCTACCTCTAAACAATTTTCTTATTTGATATGAGGAAAACTATAGAAGTATATCATGAAGTTATAGACTTACACAAGGACGTTTTTGGTCAAAAAATTACCAAATTCACACGTTCTGTTTTTACAATAAATTGATGACTATTGTTTATTCTGTTCTTAAGGTGGTCCCACACGACTGGTGTAATTGGCAAGTACGCAAGTAGGCAAATATTTGTGTAAACATTGGCCTTACATTGCTAATTCACGTGTAACATTAAAAATACCTATAACGATGTGAGCTCCCAGACGCTAGGCAAGTGTATCTGAGTAGACGAATATATATAGACGGTTCGTTGTCGGATGGATACTCATTTGCGATTTCCTCCAGGTCCCGTTGCTCTGGCAACGCTGCTTGTTGAATCTGGCAAGATTCCCTGGGAGATGACTTTTAGTACGGCCAGATGTTGACATACTACTCTTCGCATGACGCCAGGTGGATTCGATGGATTTGTAACTTAAAATATGTAAAAAAGTTGCCTTTTCGACCTTCCATCTTTTTTGTTTCCGAGTGGAAACGTGCCCATTGCACACCCACAAGTACCCATCAATTGCATTTCTACCTTAATCTTTGAATTTCTCCATAATAAGGTTTATTATTCTTCTCTTTCAGATTTGACCATAGGATTTGACGAATATTTCACCCTACGTTATAAACTTTTGATGTTAAAACTTTGTAACTACGAAAGGGATTTTCATCAATAATATGTGTTATTAAGTTCCAAAATAACGTTAAACTAATTAATAAGTATCCTAATAATAATATTTAAGTGGTTTGAAGTCTTTTAATAACAAATTTAAAAAATTTAATTAATATTATGTCAAATTTAAAAAGTGTTAGAATCTCAATTCTAAACTTATTTAACTCTCATGCTCTCTATTTAAATGCGATAACAGATTATAAACATTTCAAATAGATTTTTAGAATCTATTTGTATCTTATATTCTATTCAATTTTTTTTTCGAATCTATCTTTACTCCTATCTGGCGACGCTCTTGTACATAGTTAATAGACACACAGTCTATTTAACGACAGGCACTTAATCATTATGACCTATGCGAGGTTAGCCCCAAATTTTTCTAGCCCCCAATTAGATATGATTTTACATGTATAATATTTTCCTTATAACAAGAAAACCAGTCAACAGATTTCGATAAACAAAATCTCATTGGAAAGCTTAATCTTTGGCCAATACAAAGTGGAAATGCCCGACTCGAAATCTGTCGCGGGGTCATTTCAATGGCTGTACGCACATAATTAGTAAATTTTGAAATCGGGCATTTCCACCTTCGCATTCATTGCAGATCATACTTTCGACCGAGATTTTGATGACTAAAATTGGTCCATTAGTTACGGAGATTAAACACATCAATGTATTTAATTAATTCGTTTGTTGTGTTTTAATCAAAATCCTTAAATATTTCGAATCGGGCATTTCGACAACAACATTCAGCCAGGCACAAACTTTCGATTGAGATATAAAACATTAAAATCCGTCAAACTGTTCTCTAATTATAGTCGATTTAGTTTAAATTAATTTTTTAGCACAAGCGTTCACACGTGCATAAACAACGAGTCGAAGACGGTGTCATTCCGAGGGTTGTATAAAGTTAGCGGGAGAGAATTGAAATCGAGCATTTTGTGATTTCGATAGAAGACACTATTACGAATCGAGTGACGTATAGATCTTGATCATCAGGTACATTGTTTACGAGTTATCACCACTTAAAGAAGGTCAATTTTGTGTTATTTTCGTGTATCTTCGCATTATTTTGGCGTTTTAGCGAAATTCGAAAGAGTTTTCAAATCGAGCATTTACACTTTCGTATTGGCCAAGGATAAAGCTTTCGATGAGACATCGTTTATCGAAATCGGTTCACTGGTTCTCATGTTATAATCAAAATACTATACATGTAAAATGCTATTTAATTGGGGGCTAACTTCACATAGGTGTTATTATGAATAATTATGTTGTAATCTCAACAAGTTTAGTGAAAATAACTTTTTATTTTGTGCGTGGGTATAAATTAAACAATTTGAGGTTAGGATTTAATACGAAAATACATGGTTAACATTGCTTGTGTTGTCAGTTGTAATTGTCATTTGGTTAAATGCACAGTTTGTTGCCATCGTCACACGGGTTACTTTTTTATTATTATTTTGTAACCATGTACACTTCTTGTTTAATATTAATTTTTAATTAATTAACTATTTTAACTTAAGTAAGGTACTATTAAATAAGCTATTATACTTATTTATCATTTATATTTACAATATAAAGATATTTCAGTCGTTTGACATATCAATTGATACACAATAATATTAACATAAAGTCTATTAACACACATTTGGTAGAAACAATTCTATCTAACGACAGGTAACTGTCGTTATGCATTGATAGCCTAAGAAATAAGGTTTTCATCCGTAAATATGTTGTAATCTTAACAAGTTCAGTGAAAATAACTTTTTATTTAGTGCGTGGCTATAAATTAAACAATTTCACGTTAGGATGTAATACGAAAATGTATATTTAACATTGCTTTGAACTTCCAAAAAGAAACGTCAAATCGCAACTTTAGTGATTTTTCGGTAAGGTTTTCGCGCACTTTTTTTTATCATTAACACATCTTTTGAGTCATTTCCTACCAATTAAAAAAAATCATCGATTTTTAAGAGGGACAGGTATTCTTTAATTATTCTGAATCGTATATCTAGAATTAAAACAAATTTAAGTAAAAACATACATTTACTCGATACTACCATATAAGAAATTATGAAGGTATCATATAAATTATTTTTTTATTTAAATTCAATACAGATGAGCTAATGACGGAAGACTTTGTAAAATTGTTGATAATTCCTTTTTACCCTCCTTCGGCGAACATTCTTTCCAAGCTTAAAATTTGAATATGCATGGAACACCACATTCTAAATCGTTGATAACGATCAGTAATTTTATCGATTTGCCGCGCCATTTCTTTCATTACATGGAAAGTTTCCGTCCAAAGTCTCGCGATTTGTTGCATTTGTTCTCTAACGTTTTGCTTAGCTTTTTCATAAGCTTCTTCCAATCGAATTTTCTCCGCCATAATTCGTCCTACTTTATCTGCTAAAACAATTCGGCCATCTACTTCCGTTTGAATCTTGCAGTTAGTCGGGTTCAATACCGAAGGTTCACATAAATTTTGTATTATCTCTATATTAGCGATTTCTTTAGCCATTACAGTTAGGTTTTTCTTTTGACAAGTACTTTTTTATTATAGGTTGTCAAGGATATTAAATATAAATTATACGAAAATCAAAGAGGTTTGGTTGTTATATTTCAAATAAAAAAGAAATTTCATTCTCATGATGTCAATCTTTATTTGTCAATTTGATTATAAGTTATTTTATTATAAATGTAATAAATAGTTTTTATTTTCTTGGCTGGTACAAGTTTAATTATTTTTTATAATAAAACTAATAACATTTTATTAAACTGTTTATTGCTAGAAATCTTGTTATAGAATCTTTCGTAATTATAAGTATCTATTTGATACATTATGCTGATGTATATCCATTCACTCACTTGTATTTCTAATTTACTTGTTCACTTCTATTTATTATTTTATATATATTAATAATTTTTATTCATTCTTAATTTCCCCATTACAATAAATAAGAAAACTTTATTTAATTTCAATAACATTTATTTAGAATTAATACTCATTATACAAAAATTGATGAACGGAACAAATCATTGATGAAACGCATTTTTAGCCACCATTTGGGGAATGTTGATGTTCATCTAAATGCTGACAAAGTAACATTCGTAGTTCCTCAGCTTCTCTAAGCTTTCTAATTTTGTACATTTCGCATTCCGTTTTTTTTATTGCATCGTAAGGTTTCGCTATTAGTTGGCCAAGTTCTTGTCTTTCTTGAACTAATTCTTGACCAATTCTTAGTATCGATCGGTTCAACATCAGTTGTCCTATCATGAGACGTTCAATGCCTGTAACTAACAGCCTGTTTTCATTTGCGTTTTCAACTAAATTGTCTTCATAGACTTTTACAAATATTTCTTTGGACATTTCAACCAGTTTCAACGATTTTACTTATTAAATTGACAAATGCAGATTGATAACGTTGTTAAGAACATTAATAACGACTAGCTTTCTTGATATTTTGTTAAAATTCGCAATGTATCCAATAGATTAAAAGTTTTTCTCGTATACGAGATTTTATATATCTATATTTTGTAACGGCCCTTCAATCAAAATCAAGATGTTATTTTATGAGGGATCAGATAAATCATAATCAAAATTAGATTATCCATTTATAACAATTTTAGACTGAAAGATCTGAATGTATAACATTTTTTAAAACATTAAACTTTTTAAAGAACCGTTTCGTACACCTGTACATATTCTATGTTAAATTTCTAGTGATATGTGAAAT